CACGAGGAGGATGCCAGTGTCATCTGTGCAGGTGGGTGGCCAGCATGGAATACCAGGCCTTTGCCATATCACTCTTAAGAACATTCCAGGTCTGTCCTCTGGGAACAGCCAAGCTTAGCTCCCCTACTAGGGTCAGGGCAGAGGCAAGGCTGGAATCTTCTGCCGCCTGGAGATGAACTCTGTGCAATACAAGAGACACATTTTTACATAGAGAGGTCACACTGAGTTTTCCACACTTCCTGCTTCAGAGACTAAATGAGGGGGCAAAGAACAGGACGGTGGGATTGTTCTTTGGGGAGGATGGGGCAGGACTGGGGACAGATCCAGCTAGTATCAGAATGGGGGGAAAGGCAGGACCCAAGCTTTCCTCCTGCTTTAGTCCAACAGCCTGAATTTTCATGTCTGTGATCATGACCATGTCCATATCCAAATCCATGCACTGCTACAAGCCTCACGACGCTTTTATTCACGTCCTCTTCTTCTTTGCAGATGCCAATCCAACCACTCCTACTCAATGGCCACTCACAACAGGTAGGTCCTGCTCACCCATCTTATGCCCAATTTTCAAGTGAGGCCCAGTCTGGCACAATAAGGGAAGAAGGGAGTCCAACAGTGCTGATCCTGCTCAGAGCAAGGCTTCTGCTCCCCTTGGCCCATGACAACTCCAGGGTGCTAGAATGGTCCCTGTCAGGGTTAGTTCGCTCCCTGGGATGGCAAAGGGTGTTTCTGGGAATTTCTCAGTGAATCAATGACTTCTGCACCGAGGCAGCTCCAACAGGACAACAGGGGGTGCCGGGACAGGCCTAGAATGCTGTCTGCATGCCTGGAGTCTATCCACAGTAGCAATCCTCCCCCAACCCTTTTTGAGTCTGCAATGCTCATGGTCACTATGGTAAAATCTACAAAACAATGGGGAAGTTTGGGGCTATGGGTGAAGAGTTGATGGAAACCTGTCCTGGTGCCGTGTGCCAGGGGCCAGCGTGCGGCTGCGGGGCGGCAGGAACGGCTGCGAGGGCCG